GCCTTCTGGCTGCCTCATATAGATTTCTTCCTCCAAATCACCATGAAGGAAGCTGTCTTTACATCTAACTGCTCAAGATGTAAATTCTCTGCAGCTACAATTTTCAACACCAGTCTGATTGTAGACAATTTTACGACTGGAGAGAAAATTTCATTATAGTCAATACCTTCTTTTGCTGAAAGCCTTTGACAACCAATCTTGCTTTGTAGCGTTTGCTCCCATCGTGCTCTTCTTTGATCCTGTAAATCCACTTGTTGTGGAGCGCTTTCTTGCCTGGTGGTAATTCAGCTAATTCCCATGTCTGATTTGACATAAGCGAGTCCATCTCATCTTTCATGGAAGACCCCACTTGACTGAATCCTCCACTTGCATTGCTTCATCATAGCACTCTGGTTCACCATTGTCAGTCAGCAACAAGTAGTGTAAAGAAGGAGAATACCGTTGGGTTGGTTTAGGAATTCTGGAGGAGCGTCTCAGTTCTGGTGTGCCTGGTTCTTCTTGAACTGCTTCAGGATTGATCTGAACATCATTTCTAGAAATCTCCTCGAACTCAGCAAATTCCTTTGTTTCAGCTTCGGTATTACTTGATTCTGCGGTTGATCTATCTTTGTACATCACATTTCATTGAAAATGACGTCTCTGCTTCTGATGATCTTCCGATTTTCATAGTCCCAAAACCGGTAACCGAACTCATCACCGCCATAACCAACAAAGACGCATTTGTTGGACTTGGCATCAAGTTTACTTCTTTCAGCAGAGTTTATGTGTACATAAGAAATACAACCAAACACCCTTAAGTGTGAAAGGTTTATTTCTTTCTTGCTCCAAGCTTCCTCTGGTATTCCGCCATCCAAAGGAACTGAGGGCCCACGGTTGATCAAGTAAGCTGCAGTGTTGATTGCTTCAGCCCATAGAAATTTGGGCAAGCCGGCATGTATCCTCATACTTCTGGCACGTTCATTCAGAGTTCGTTCATGCGCTACACCATTATGTTGCGGTGTCTTGGGAACTGTTGTCTCCTCTTGATCCCATTGTTTGCGCAGAAATCTCTGAATCTACTGTCTCTGTACTCTCCTCCATTGTCAGACCTCAACCGCTTGACTTTCAAACAGTCTCATTTTCCACCATGGCCTTCCATTTTCTGAAGATATCGAAGACTTCTGATTTCTTCTTCAGAAAATAAACCCACACCTTCCTTGTTGAATCATCGATGAAGGTGACATAATATAGTGAGCCTGCAAGAGATGGAACTGGGGATGGTCCCCATACTCAGTAGAACCAATTCTAACCTTTCTGCCTTGGGTGTCTTTCCAATCTTTGCAAAACTGACTTTCTTTGTTTGCCAAAGATGCAATCCTCGCATAGTCCGACATCTACATTTTTAGATCCGGCAGCTTCCTTTTGACAAAAGTGTCTTCATCCCTTTCTCGCTCATATGGCCAAGCCTTTGGTGCATAGGTTGATTTTCCACAGCATCTGCTACTGCAATGATATTCTCTAAATTGGAGGTTACATAGAGAGTACCAGTCTTCTTACCACGAGCAATGACGAGTGCTCCTTGGTAATCTTCCATTCACAGCCTGAAAAGGTTGTGCTATATCCTCTCCATCAAGCTGTCCAACAGAAATCAGATTTCTTTTGAGGCCAGGAATAATGTCTTACTCCTGTCAGCTTCCAGGTGGTCTGGTTTGGCAACTTTAGTCGGATGTCTCCTTTTCCGCGATCTTTAGGTTTCATCATCACAAGATGAACCTTCCCAAAATCACCACTGACATAGTTCTCCATGATTTCTTGGCATGGGGTGGAGTGGAAAGATGCCCCTGAATCCAAGATCCATGATTCAATCGGACTGTTGACGCTTAGAATCATGCATCACCTGTCTCCTCTGTCACGTTGGCATTCCTGTGCACCGGTTCTTTCTTCAGTGCTCGGCAATCTCTTTTAAAGTGACCTTTCTTGCCACAATTATAACAGGTAAAATCTTTCTTTCCCGTTCTAGATTTTTCCCGTCTGGATTTTGATCTGCCACGATTTGAATATCTTTCTGAAGTTCTTCCTCTAGACTCCGTGTGCAAGGCTGAGGAGGTTGATGCTTCACCCGATTCTCTTCGTCGAATTTCTTCACTCAATACCAGATCCCGAACATCGTCGAATTTTAATTTGCTATTTCCCGACGAACTGCTGACTGCTGTAACAGTAGCATTCCAACTGTCTGGTAGAGATGATAAGAGAATTAAAGCTCGAACTTCATCATCGAACTCAATTTCCACTGAACTCAACTGGGTTGTGATTGTGTTGAGTTCATTTAGGTGTTGTGCACCGATGCCCCTTCCGCCATCCGCAAATTGAATAATCGCCTCATCAAATGAACTTTGTTTGAGGCCGATGGCTTCTCGTACATACTGGAGAGAGCCGCCATAAGACCCGCCGTGGTCTTTTCCTTTGCTATGTTAAAGCAACATGCGGGATAACGTCAGTCGGATACTCCGAGGGCTTGTCTGTCGAGAAGAGCCCAATCTCATCCTTCATGCCCTCTGGTGCTTTCCTGAGAGAGGTTGATATAGATTTTTCTGGTACAAAAAATCTTCAATCTGCATCTTCCAAAAGCAAAGTCCGCACCATCGAACTTTCAATTTTCACCTTCCCTTCGTCTGCAGCCATCGCTCCCACTCGAATCTGGCTCGTTGGATCGTTTCTGACAATTCTTGCGAATCACCGTGTATTAGAACACCACCGTCGACAAACTCGTATCGCCGACCGAATTTCCTATTCACGAAATTCACTATTCACGTGAATAGTAATGAATAGTAACCTCGCAGAAAATTTGACAAAATTCACAACCAAAAGCTCTGATTACCAGTTGTTAGGAAAATAAACCGAGTACAAGTAATTTCCCTAAACCAGATTAGTGAGAATGCGAAATAAAAGCGGAAAAATAATACCGAAAATTGATAACGGAGTTCAGCCAATTGTGCTTACGTCTCCGGGCTGCTGCAGATCTTTTACTAAGAGAGAAATTTACAGGTGTTTACAAAACACTCACTACTCACAAGAAAGCTCTCTAGTATAGGAGAAAGAAATGTTTGGGATGATTTTGAAGCTAAATGGTAAGGGTATTTATAGTAGAAACTTAGGACTATCTTGAAAATACCCTAAAGTGCAATGACTAAGTGAATTTACCCATTCCTATTTTCAACAACATCTACCAAAATTTTACCAAACTTTGAAAAACATTTTTCAAAGAAACATTTACCAAACTTTGAAAAAACATTTTCCAAAGTTGGTTGCCAAACTTTGAAACTTTTAACAGCTCGCACCGCTTTGGACTTCTCCAACACCCCCCTAAGTGAGGAGTTATCCGAAAGCATCATTGGCACTGTTTTGCAAATTTCAACCACTTTAAGCAGAAAGAAGTAAGCCACTCCATCGATCATTTAACAACCATCATGCTCAACTTCAAATTTATACATTCCCATATTTTTATTTTCATATTTGCTCTTGTTTTAGGGATATCGGTGATGATGAACTACAAATGTTGACAGTACAACTTACCAAGCTAAATACTGAACTTGAAGAGAAACTGCTGCTGCAAGTAAGCTTTCTTGTAAGTATATATGTTTATTATTTTAACTGCTGTTGATATTATATCATATGAAAAAATCCTAAGTGCTTTATTATGGATAGGGTAATCAGTAGCCGCGGAACTCAACATTTTCTTTTTGAGCATTTAAAATTTTTATACTATATTAATTAAAATATTTTAATAATTTAATATAAATTATATATTAAAATATTATACTAATAAAAGAAATATTTATAACTCAAAATTTATTTATTCATAAAAGTGTAATGAAACAAAATTCATATAGTGTTTTTCATTTATATAAACTTGAAAACGTAGATAATTATATAATAAATTCACATAATATGAAAATTTAATTAATAAAATAAACGGGAGCAATTCAAATAGGAGTAATTTAAAAATTGAGTGATTAAATTGAAATATTTGAACTTTAATGACGAAATAAGAGTGAGGAAACAATTGAATGAGGAATAGTATAATTTATCCATATATTATGTATATAAGTACTTTATGTTTCATGTTTTACTATTCCGTGGGCACGGGCCCGCTAGTCTCTAAGAGTTCCAGCAATCACACCCGATTAAAATTAAAGGGTAAAGTACGTAAATGGTCCTCTAATTATATGATACTTTTTTATTAAGACTCTCGACTATTAAAAGTTACTAAATGATCCTCCGACTATAGTGTGTTGTTTTCTTGAGTCCATTGCCTAATAAAACTTACAAAATGGTCACTCGACTATTCATATGTTCCAAATTCAACATTTTTCAATTAGTGATCATTTGAGTTGGACGTTAACATGATGACTGTGATATGATAGTCTTTTGAAATTCCTGGATCAGATTTCATCATAGCATAGTCAGAATGTTAATGTTCAACTCAGACTGCTGTTAATTTTTCAATAAAAAAAATATGAGTTTGGAACCTATGAATAGTCGAGTGATCATTTTGTAACTTTTAATAGTCAATAGACTAAAAAAGCAACATAATATAGTCGAGAACTATTTTGTAACTTTTTATAATCGGAGACTCAACAAAGCATCACCCTATAATCAGGGGACAATTTGTGTATTTTACCCTAAATTGGAACATAATCTCTCGTTTTTATACAGTTAAAGCTTAGTAGCAATAAAAGCTTAGTATAGTCGCAAGTTTTTTTTAATAGTATGAAAATATTAAAACATATTATCTATTTATAATCTTTCTTAAAGTTTGATAATGTACATATACTTTAGACACAATTGTTCAAATTTATGACCTCTAAAGTCTAGAGAGAACAATACTCGTTTTACTTGCTCAATTAATTCGGTTTGATAACAAGTTTTTGTTATTTATTTAGAAAAAAAAGACTCAAATCTAAATTTAAGCACATGTATACGTCTTTTTGACATCTGATCAGAATATGGTGTAGGGAAAAAGGAACCATATGATTATGAAGACACAGGGAAGCCTGTTCTTAATATCAGGACCCCGGAACTTATCGAAAAAATCAAAAAATATACAGAGGTTGGTTCCAATCAAACTTGCATTGCATATTATCATCGGATCCTTTGATTCAAAACATGTGGTTTTGATGATTAATATGCTTATGACACAGGATCCTGAAAAACTGAGAAACAAGCATATGTTATTTCTCATATCAGATCTTGACATATCCATAGAAGAAATCAGGTTCTCAACGGATTGTACCAAAAGAACGACAACAAGTATGAAATCTCGTGGCTCCCAATCGTTGAGTTGTCAGTAAATGGTAAGAGTTCAGCGGCGAGGTTTGGGGAGCTGAAACAAATGATGAAATGGATTGCAGTTGAGCCATCCAAGATTGAATCACAAGTCGTCGAGTGCATAAAGAAGGACTGGAAATTTATAAAGCACGCCATTGCTGTTTCAGTGAATCAAAGAGGGGAAATAACATGCTTGAATGCCCTCCCTATGCTGTGGACATGGGGTAATTCGGCATTTCCTTTCACTGAGCGAAATCTGTGGAACAAAATAGATGAGCAGAATGGTTGGAGGCTTGACCAGTTGTTCCATGAACTAATGCTCCCCGATGACATAGACATACAATCATGGGTACGTTTATAATCTCTTTCTATTTTTATGGGTAAGTACACAAATTGTCCCCAACTATAGGTCATTGATTTGTTGAGTCCATTGACTACTAAAAGTGGTAAAATGGTCACCCGATTATTCATATGTTTGAAACTCGTCATTTTCGCTAAAAAAATTGACGATTGTCTGAGCTGGAGGTTAACCTGCTGATTGGGATATGATAAAATTGTATTTTTAATGATGTCTACAAGCATCGTCATTTCTTTCAAGCACAGACTTAGCGACATAATGTAAACATATCCAAAAAATACTACTAAAATGCTTCTAAGTCCATATTTTATCATATCCTACTTATCAGGTTAACTTTTAGCTCAGATAACTGTCAATTTCTTAACAAAAAAGGATGAGTTTAGAACATATGAATAGTCGGGAGACGTTTTTATAACTTTTAATAGTTGGAGACTCAACTAAGCATCGCCTTATAATCAAAGGACCATTTGTTTACTTTGCCCTATTTTATTTACTTTTTGGATCTAGTTTAGGAAGCTTACTTAAGGGATGTCGTGTGTTCCTTGATTATTTAGACAAAGTGCGAGGGGACATTTGTATGCTTGTTTGGTGGTGGGGATATGTCATGGATTCAGGCATTCACTGAGAATTTGAAATATGCTGCACACACTGCGGGTGTTTCCTTAAAGCTAGTGTACCTCGGGGTGGGTAAGAGCAAAGGCAAAGGGCTAACAAGGACTGAGCTAGGTCGAGGCATTCATGTCATCGAATCTGAATCTCAATGGCACTTTTGGACTCGACTTGAGAGTATATTGTACACCAAAATCAAACTCGGCAAGACTGTGAACATCAGCAAGAAGGATCCAGTGATGATTGAGGCGTTGAAAATGGTCGGGTACGGAGGGAATGGCGAAGCATGGGCCATGTTTTCGATGGGAACAAGGGCCATGGTGACAACTTGCGGGAAAACAGCTCTAAGTATCATGGAAAACTACCAGAAATGGATAAAGGAAAACGTGGGAAATCGTTTCTTTAAGGGAATAGTAGAGTACAATGAGTTAATAATGAGGGATGTGCACAGCTGCATCAATATTAACCTGCCGGTCATGGGTGAGATTCCAGGGATAATGATGTGCCCTGAGTGTTCGAAAGTGATGGACATGTTTTACAGTTACCGCTGCTGCCCTGAGTCGCTGCTGTGATGAGTAATTAGGAAATATACCCTACATATGCATTGAAAAGGAGGAAATAGATACAATAAATTGTATTAAGGTTCTAAGACTCTACTCAATAATGCAATAAAATCTGAGACTCATTCATTTTTTCACCGACACTACTTGGTGAAGAAAGAGTTCAGAACTTGTTTATTTTACCGTCTATTTATTAAAGAAAAGAAATCTTAAATGAAAAGCTTCATGGACTAGTGTAGCTGCATTCACATTTAAATTGAAACAATATGGAGTGAACTGTAAATTTTGGGTGCAATATGTTGGATTAAAATCCATAATTATGGCCACATATTTATAATGTATATTGTTATTATAAAATATGACGTAAATCAAGTGACCAATTATATTATAAAGTTATAAAGTATTAAAGTATCATGGAAAGAAAGGTGTAGATACTATTAAATTTGTATTTATAATTTGACGAGGGGAAAAGTTATAATTATAGACAATAACTCATTCTTAAATCAACTATATAAAGGGGTTATGGTCCCCAAGAAATAGACAATCTCGTATTTACTCTTATACCCGTTGGAGAGTTTATACTTAAGCAAACTCTATCTTCTTAGAAAATTACAACCATATAAAGATTCAAGAATTTCAACTTATCAATTAATTCAGATACACTTCAACATCTATTATTTTATTCTTGATGATTTGACATTACTAGATCCTGGTTTTATTTCATATATGGTATAATTTGGTTCTAACAAGACATGGATGGTTCTTGAAAGATGCGGAAGAACAACAACATGCGGAAAATGAAAATGAAGTTGTGTGTTGGTAATCTCTTGAACCTCCATGGTAGCACCTAAAATGTTCTAGAGAACATTAAGAATTAAGAATGAAAATCCAAAAATGTAATTGATGATGGAGGTAACATTTGACAACGACAAATTAGATACTTAATGGAGAAGAATTGTGGTGACAAAGAGATAAAATTTTAGCATAGAATTTTAGTAAGACAAGTAAATTAGAGGTGATTAAAAATTTCCTATAAAAAGGCTTATATGGTTGACACTAGAAGGTGTAATGTATGAGTGAAAGAAAAAAAAAAGAGAAATAGGGCGAAGAGCTTAGCAAAGTCTTTAGTTTGTAGTATTTGTAAACTAGCCAAACCTAGTGTTTTTATTTGTATCTTGGTTCATATTAATATATTGTGTGAGTTGAAAAGTTTATCGAGTTCCCAACAACGCTTCCAACAAGTGGTATCGAGAGCTTGGTTCGAGTTTGATTCGAATTTACGTGGTGCTAAAAATGACTAATATGATTTAACCACAAATATTGAAATTGGAAAAGTCAAATTATGGTAATTGGAGCATTCAAATGAAGGCGCTACTCAGTTCCCAAGATTGTTGGGATATCACAGAGGAAGGTTATGACGAGCTTAAAAATGCAACAACAGAAGTGACCTTGGCCAATGAAGAGAAATGGGTACCAAAGGAATCCTACAAGAAAGACAATAGGGTGTTATTCTTTACTTTTCAAGGAGTATAAGAATCTACCTTTGAAAAAATATCTGATGCAATGACTGCAAAACAAGAGTGGGAGATTTTACAAAAATCTCTTCAAGGTGCCGAAAAATAAAAAAAAGTACTTTACAATATCTAAGAGCTTATTTTGAAATATTGAAAAAGAAAAATACGTAAAGTATCAATGATTATGTTATCCATGTTAAAATAATGGTAAATGAAATGAAAAGAAATGGTGCATCACTCGATGAGGTTAGAGTGATGAAAAAGATTTTGCGGTCATTGACGTAAACATTTGACTACGTGATTGTTACAATAGAAGAATGGAAGATTTGACTCAAATATCGATTGACACTTTAAGCTCATGAGCAGAAGATGAAACAAAATAAAGATTTTGAAAAATTGGGGCAAACTCTACAAAGTAGGCTAAATATCCAATAAGGTGAATCGAACAACAACTACAAACAAGGAAATCATGGTGGTTATAATGGAAGATATAGAAGTGGATGAGGAGCACGTGGCCGTGGTGGTCAAACATATGCCACAAATCAACAAGTGAAAACTACTAGACATCAAATAATTGATGAGGATTTAGAGGCCGAGATCAAGGCAAAGGTACATATCAACAAGGAAAAAAATCCTAGGTACAATGCTATAATTACAATAATTATGGTCATTATAGTTATGTGTAGATCAACTCCCAAACAATATGAAACAAATAATAAAGTAGCAGCTAAAGAAGAAAAAGTTTAAAAATCCCATGTATTCTCACTTACAAAGGAAATTAAGATTTTAAAAAATATTGGCTATCTTGGAAATTGTGCTAGCAACCATATGTGTGGCCGAAAGGAGTTATTTGTGAAGTCAGATGAAACAATCAACTATAGAGTAGCTTTTGGTGATGATTCACACGTAGACGTTAAAGGTAAAGGTGAAGTTATGATGACTTAATAGAATGGTGAGAAGAAATACATATAAGATGTATATTATGTAGAAGGTTTTAAAAGCAATTATTAGTCTTGGTTAACTTCTAGAAAAAGGTTACGAAGTAGAGATGAAGAATCGCTCCCTTGCTATACAAAATAAAGATGAAGAATTAATTGCCAAAGTTGATATGACTCGAAATAATCTATTTACCATTGACATCGAGTCAAGAGAAGTCAAGTGCATGAAGACAACCACTAAAGATAATTCATGGTTGTGGCATCTACGATATTGACATCTTGGTTCTCGGGCTCAAAGTTTCTATTAAAGGCAAATATGATGAAACTACCACCAAAAATCAACTCTTCAGATTAATTATGTGAGGCTTGCATCAAAGGAAAGAAACACATACAAAGCTTTAAAGCTGGCAGATCATAGAGAGCCCAAAGGTCATTAGAGATAGTACATACCGACATAGCTAGTCCTTTTGACATACCATCACTTAGAGGTAACAGGTACTACCAAACCTTTATTAATAATTTTAGTAGAAAAAGTTGGTTTATATCTTGAAAGAAAAATCAGTAACAATGAAGAAATTAAAAGAATTTAAAGTAATGATAGAAAAGTAAATGACCAATATTTAAATATACTTAGATATGATAGAGGAAGCAAGTATACATCAAATTTATTTTAAGACTTTTACAAACGGTATGACATAATCCATCAACTGATTGTAAAATAAACGCCTCAACAAAATGGAGTTGTAGAAAGAAAAAATCTTACAATTCTTGACATGGGAAGAAGCATGATAAAATGTAAGCACTTACAAATAAATTTTTGGTTTGAAGCAATTTGATTGCAGTTTACCTCCTGAATCGATGTCCAAAAAAATAGTGTAAACTAAATGATACCAAATGAAGCATGGAACAATCAGAAACTAGGAGTTAGATACATCTGGATTTTTGGGTGCATCGCATATGTCCACAATCTTGAGTAAACAAGAAAAAAGCTCGATGATAGAGGAGAGAAATGTATTTTAATCATGTATGATGAAATAAGTAAAACCTACAAACTATATAATCCTCTCGCGAAGAATGTAATAATTTCAAGAGATGTCAAGTTCAATGAAGCATAACATTAGAGATAGAGCAAAGAAGAAAAGAAAGTTGAAGTACTATTCCTTTATGAAGATAAAGATGAAGATGATCTTATAAATCAATATAAATAAGATGATAATCAAGGTTCTCAAGAAAATGCACCATCGTTATCAAGCCGTAACAACGGTGGCTGCAACAGACTAAAAAGTTTTAAAGTACCTCCTATAGAAGTTTGAAGATCTACGAGGGAGAGAAGAATACAAGAAAGGTACAATGACTATGAATCACAAAATGTTTCTCTTTTCAGCTTACTTGCAAAGAGTGTAACACCCTTAACCCATATATGTGTACTATTACGAGTTAAAGATGTTATATTAATTATTCAAAGCATTTCTTAACCCAAAATGGGTAAAATTTTGTTTATTTCACAAGTTTCCCATATTTTAACATTTATTATAAAATATTTAATTAGAGAAAATCAAAATATAATATTTTGACTTCTAATTCAAATCCGATTTCAGGCAGTAACAAGCAATTCTGCTCTGTTTCATATAACAAATAGAACTGTATGATCTAAAATCTTATTGATTAATATTTAAAACATAGTTTAGTATCATAATATTTATTCATACAATTAATTATATTTAATACTAACTATATTAATAATTTGCAGATATTTCTTACTCATATACATCACAACTAGAAAATTTAGAACACAATAGGACGGCATTACTGTTACCAATAAATATTCATTTGTGATTGATGCAAAAAAAGCTCCTTACTCTTCTTGCTTTCTCTTACCTACTCGTTAAAATCATCACACGCTAAGTATACACTTAGTGAGACAATGAATAGAAATACTCAAGGCAATACAACACATAACTATAAATGAGTAACAATATTCAATGCATTACGATCACTTTACCTACAATGTCAACCATTCTACATATTAGCATGATATGAACCACAAATAAAATTTCTTAGCAATATACTTGCCATTTATTCCATAAGATCATAAGCTTATTCACTTGTATATCAATTATTAACCAATAAAACATAGCCCAAATATAGACCTATGGGGACCCTGGGTACACGAGTCAAATATGCACCGAAGTGCAAAACTGAATATTACACATAAGGTCATATCCACCATACACCCTAAGTATATTGGGTATACACCCTAGTGTTAAACCAAATATGAGACATAAGGTCGTGGCCACCACCTGCAATATGTTTCTTGGGTATACACTCCAATACTAAACCGGATATGCAACATGTTACTGGACTATATAGCATGCCAACTATACTATTATCACTCAATGACTTACTTGGGCATATAGTCTATTTTTATTCCATCCATGGAAAAGTATATTAATATAATTTAACATGGGGTAGTTCATACCCAAAATAACATTCGCAATAAACATCATATATATTCATGATAAACATCATATATAATAACCAGCGAACTATGCAATTTATGTTCAACCTTT